TTGGGACATAGCCTGACCCGGCTCAGGACCTCCGATGTTGCTGAAGCCCGACATGCCCTCCCTACCTTTGGCTGCTCTTGTCCAAAAAAAGGATATTAATTCGCGAGCAGCCCCTACCCGTATCAGGGTCTCACGGGGTCAAGTCTGCTAGAGGTCGAAAATGGGGGTTTTTTAAAACATTATAAAATTTATTTAACAACTATACAGTAAGACTTCAAAACCTGACATTAAATTGAGAGACATGCTAAAGATTATAAATACATCGAGGAACATAAATACTTAAATTACATATAAAAACATAAACAAATAAGAAAAATTATTGTCTAAAAAAAAGAAGTCAAGTCTTAAAAAAACAAATCCTCAGAAATTTCTTATTTGGGTCAGCGGACAAAAATCGAGTACTCCTCTTTCGGACATTAAACTTGTAAACGGGCAGTCAAACATATAAACGACCGATCGAACATGCAAAACGAACATATAAACGCGCACTCGAACATACAAAAGCCCAATCGAACAACCAAACGAACTCCGTTGGACTCTCGATCGTCCGCGTTATTGAAATTTGTTACTTAGTTCTTTACACGGTCTACGGTCATTATTTTTTTACGTTAAGTTGACTTTAATAAAATAACACTAATAGCAGAAAAAGTTTGACTTTATGAGATTTCTTGCTGCGGCTATGTCATTATTGTTTCTCTCTTCTCCCTCTATATCCCTTCTCTTTAGTTTCTTTCTTTAAGGTTATTATTTCAACAAATTTCTTTTCACTCACCGCACTTATTTGGCATTCCATCGAAGAAAGCGCTTTCCCGAGGATTGGTGGCTACGAGGGCTAGAATAAGGGTTACTTCAAGGGGGAAGAAAATATCACACAATAATAACGAGCCAACATAAATTTTAGGTTGTGGGCCCGTCTACACTGCACAAAAAAAATATATTCGCCGTCTCCTCTGGATTCGCCTTCTTTCCTCCCGGTGTAGCGCTCCTTCTTCCACTCCGCTTACGCAATCGGCCCTTCTGCTTTTCCTTTGTTTTTCGGACGGCTTCCGGCGCGTCGTTCTCGCCCTGGCGGGAAAACGCAAAACCGCGATCCCCGACGCCTGGCTCTTGGCCCGTATTCGCGTTTGGGCCCTTTTCCGTAGCTCACACTCAGGGCCCAAAGAAAAATCGCTTAAAAGGGGACTGTAGAGACGACAGCCGCTCGTCGTCGAGCGCGGTTGCAAGCGGACTAAACAGTGAGCTCGAGCTTGTTTGCCACGAACCTCGCTCGTAGCCCGTTGCCCTAAAATGGGGACCCCTTTAATTTATTTGCTTTCGCATTGATTTGGGCCGGGAATTTCTCGACTTACCCAGTGGACGCCGCCTGTTACAACACAAAAAAACTGGTCACCACTCGTTTTGGACTTCCGCAATTATAATTGGTACTAAAGATTGATAAAAGACCGACTGCTCACTTTGACCAACTTGGTACGAATGTGCCACCAGACGCTATCCTTTTGGCGCTAACCCCCTCGATGGCTCTCATGAGGTGAAATAGGGTGAAAAATCGGATGACACTTGGCCCCGTTGCTCTCATCCCAGTTTCCCTTATTACCATATCACGGTCTCCCCACCCTAGGGGTTGGCGGTTGGTGGCGTCGCTATACGATCTTACAGTCGCAGATACAAGCGTTACACCCAATCCAACAGAAAGGGCAATGTCGGGTCATCCAGCCGCAGCAGATATTTAGGATCTCTTAATGCTAGCTCTTAGCTTATCTGCATAATTACCACCGCTCTCGCTCTCTAATTATCTTTCTATTTGCTCTCTCTCGTTGCTTGTCGGCTTCTACTTTGGGTCAGCAATCGGCTGATCCGCGTCTCAATTTTTATTGTATTACTTCTTTTCGATCCCGCGGACCATTTGTAACTCTTTTTCGTCGAAAATAAAATCGCTGCTACAGAATTCGAAAACAGAATTTCTTCGTGCATAATTATTTCAACAGCTAATAAAAAAGCTTATTAGCTCAACATTTGGTGACCCCGACGTGATTTGTGCATAAAAGGGACTCAGTGCAAGTCACAAAAAAAATAATTTATTTTACCAAGCTGCATATTTTGTTTTATCTGTGTTGCAGCTACATTGTGCGTTTACCTGCCATAAACAACACAAATATTTATAAATTGATTTGTGAAAATAATAACACTCTTGGTTACACGAACTTGTACATAAGGCGATATATAGACCAGCAGCGGACCAATTTTTCGCATTCTCCTTTGCGCTCATCTTCCCGCTGAAGCCGAATTTTGCCCGCTGAGTCTGCTGCATATCTCACTTTATGTTTGTTACAAAACAATAAAATTAATTGATTTGTGCAAATAATACCACTCCTGGTTACACAAGCTTTACATAAGGAGGTATATAGACCAGAAGCGGACCGATTTTTCGCTGTTCCCCGTTACGCTTATCTTCCCGCTGAAGCCGAATTTTGCCCGCCGAATTTGCTGCATTTATTTTGTTGTTGTTGCTGCTTAACATGGCTTCAGAAAATTCGGTTAGCGTCACCGACAATCGCAATTCAAACAGGGTGACATTTTTGAAGCGCAAGGCAACTTCAATGTTTAATAGAGTGGAGCGGTTAATGGAATCCCTTTCAAGTTCGGCTTTGAATTCTTTTGACGATTCTGGCCTTCATGTGAGGTTGGAACTTATCGAGGAGCTTCAAAGGGCGTTTAAAAAGGTTCTCAACGAGCTGGAAGAATTGGATTTTGAGGAAATTGGAAATGACTTGGAGGAGAAATTTGATGATGTCGTCGTAATTCTGAAGTCGACGGTTCGATCGGAGATCACAAAGCGCTCCTCGCAACTGCTTCAGCACTCAACCTTTGCTGATGGCAATACGCCCGGTCATTTCGGCCATCAGCAGCGGGAAGCTCTGCGCCGAGCGATTCCGCTTCCCGTTCTTGAACTTCCGAAATTCGCTGGAGGTTATGCGAATTGGTCAGATTTCTATTCTATGTTTACTACCATCATAGATAGTCATCCTGACCTGACCAACATTGAAAAGCTGCAACATCTACGCTCATGTCTAAGGGATTCTGCGTTGGAAAACATCCGCTCGCTGGAAATTTCGGATGGCAATTATTCTGTTGCTTTAGACTTACTGCAAAACAGATTCGATAATCGTCGTTTGGTTTTTCAGGCACACATTACTGAGATCCTGGGGCTTAAGGCATTGCAGAGTGGTTCCGTCTCGATGCTTCGTGAGCTGTCCGACAAATTTAACGCTCATATTCGTGCTTTAAAGGGATTGGGCACGACAGAACAAATCGCGGGATGCATCATTGTCCAAGTACTGCTTCAAAAGCTAGATCCTGCGAGCCAGGCAAAATGGGAGGAGCGGTTAGAGGATCCAGCAGTCGTCAATATAATTCCGACGTGGGAATCCATGGCATCATTTTTGGAGCAGCGATGCAGAACATTGGAGACAATGGATTTCGCCATGGCAAGCTATGCGTCTGGCAATCAGGTGGGAAATAACCGAACGTCTAATTCTCGCAGATCTGCTTTTGTTGCCACAAATAGTAACCCTTGGTTTTGTTCGTTCTGTAATGCTTCTGGTCACTCCATCCATTATTGTCAAGATTTTAAAGCCCTGCCCCCTGCTAATGGGCTTCAAGAAGTAAAGAGGCTCTCTCTTTGCATAAACTGCCTTAAGATAGGGCATCAATTGAGGCAGTGCAATTCCAGCAATTGCCGGGCATGCGGAGCTAAACACCACACCCTCCTTCACTTGGGAAATTTATCCTCAGCTTCTCCTCAGGCAGGACCACAGCTTCCAGAAGCTATTGCCGCTGTCGCATCCAATACTGTCGTTGAACTCTCTGCCATGCCTTCCTCATCCAGTGCTCTTATTGCTCAGCTTCAGTACTGACATTGTGCTCCTAGCCACTGCCACCGTTCTCATTAAAAACCGGTCTGGAGTTTTCGTTCCATGTCGAGCCCTTCTTGACTCCGGCTCTCAGCTGCATCTAATAACATCTCGCTTCGCAGATCAGCTTCAAACAAAGAAGATAAAGACTTCGGCTTCTGTTACTGGAATAGGTGATTCCAGCTTTGTTAGAAATGGTCACGCAGTTAATATTACGATTAGAGTTGCCGCGAATATTCGGCAAGTATTCGGTATTCGGCCACTTTTTTTGGTATTCGGCATTCGGCCTAATAATAGGTACTATTCGGCATTCGGCCGAATAATAGGTACTATTCGGCCGAACGCCGAATAGTGCCAAATCATGAAAAAAACTCATCACTTTTATCAAAATTTTTTTTTATTATCAATAAGTAAAATTATCAATAAGTAAAATTAATTAGCGGTAAGTTGTGATGAACGAACACCAGTTTTTCTGCATTTGTCGGTAGTAACCGATTTCGCTTTTCGTCGTAAATAATACCTGCTTCGGAAAACAACCTCTCACTATAGCTTCTTTAGTTTTAAATATGCTAGAACTAGCTTATAATAAGCTAAACTGGCAACAATGTAGCATGTACTTTGTGCCGAATATTCGGCGGCCGAACATTTGATGATCTTCTTCGTCGATTTTGGGAGGTGGAAAGCTGCGTGGAGCCAATTGCACATGCTACTAAGGAAGAACTGGACTGTGAGGCGCACTTTACAAAGCATTTCATTCGCTCTTCTGCTGGAGACTATTCTGTTCGTTTGCCTGCCAAGCTCAACCTGGAATTATTGGGTGAGTCCTACCAGCAAGCTTATCGTAGATTCCTGTCCCTAGAAAGGAAACTAGATCGTCGGCCAGCCTTGAAGGCCCAATATGCGGCTTTTATAAAGGAATACCTTGACTTGGGGCACATGTCAACAGTTGCTGGCGCAGACCTCGCTTCTTGTCGCTTCTTTTTGCCTCATCATTGCGTCATAAAGGAGGAGAGTTCCACTACAAAGCTTCGCGTAGTTTTTGACGGATCTGCCGCGACTTCATCAGGCTACTCTCTTAATGATTTGCTCATGGCAAGCCCCGTAATTCAGCACACCCTGTTCCAGATTCTGATTCGGTTTCGCTCATACCCGGTAGCCATCACTGGAGAGATTTGTAAGATGTACCGTTGTGTCAAGGTACATCCAGAGGACAGCTATTTGCAATGCATTTTATAGAGGACTTCCCCACAGGACAAGCTGCAAGTGTACAAACTGGACACCGTCACTTATGGCACGAAGCCTGCATCATTTCTGGCTGTGCGGGCTATGCATCAGCTGTCAAGAGACGAGCATTTTTCGTTTCCGCTTGGGGCTGAGGTTATTCAGCGTGACTTTTACGTAGATGATCTGATATCTGGAGCCCAGACCGTGGACGAGGCTATCATCATTGTAGATCAGACCTCTAAAATTCTGTCCAGAGGAGGCTTTAAACTTAGGAAGTGGTGCTCAAACGTTCCAGCGGCTTTGTGTGGAGTGTCTGACGAAGATAAGGAGTTATATTTGAAGTTTGATGACGGCACTGACTTTACCAAAACTCTGGGTTTAGCCTGGGATCCTGCTTCTGATCAGCTCTTGTTCTCTTTTTCTATCTTGCAGTCAACCTCAAGTCCGTGCAGGCGATCTGTCCTGTCTGCCATTGCACGTTTTTATGATCCTCTTGGATTGGTTGGACCGGTGATAGCAAAAGCGAAAATTTTCCTTCAGCAATTGTGCAAGGAAAGGTTATCCTGGGATGAAAGCCTTCCTGAGGCTCAGAACACGCAATGGAGTTCAATATGCAGGAGTTTCGTGCAAATCAGGCGTTTGGGTTTCCCTCGGCTAGTGCTTTCTCCAAATTCAGAGATTCAGGTTCATGGATTTTGCGATGCCAGCATGGAAGCATACGGCGCCTGTGTCTACATCGTGTGCAGTGGACAGTCGCGGTTGCTTTGTTCAAAGTCAAGGGTTGCTCCCTTGAAGACACTCACCGTGCCCAAGCTGGAGCTTTGTGGAGCCGGTCTCTTATCTAAGCTCATCTCAGAGGTAGCTGGCACCAACGTATTCAAGGGACAGTATTATTGTTGGAGTGACTCTGCGGTTGCGCTGTCCTGGATCCGAGACGAGCCCTCCAGATTCAACATGTTTGTGGCAAACCGAGTTGCTGCCATTCAAGAGCGAACCGATTCGATGGAGTGGCGTTACGTTCCAACTTCTTTGAATCCGGCTGACATTCTCTCCCGAGGTGTCCTTCCCACTGAGCTGAGCGAGTCCCCTGTCTGGTTTAATGGGCCGGCATTTCTTTGCAGACCCAAGTTTGACTGGCCTTCCCCAATCCTTGCTGAGAAGTCAACGCTTGAGCTTCGTCGAAAGGTCCTGTTAATAAAATCACCATACGTAGATATCGTAGCCTGTTCCAAATTTGCAAATTCCTTCGCGGCGCTTCAAAGGATTTTCGGATACGTCTGCAAATTTATTAATCGCATTCGGCAGCCGGATCTTAAGGTGTCGGATATCCAAAGCGGTACTCAGTTATTGCTTCGGCTGGTTCAGCTTTCTCATTTATGGGAAGACATAAAATCCTTGCAGTCTAAGGGAGTTGTAGCCCCATCTAGTTCGCTTGCGTCTCTATCTCCTTTTATCGATCATTTTGGGTTTCTTAGAGTGGATGGCCGACTAAAAAACTCGTCGCTGGATTTCAATGGGCGTCATCCAATCATATTGCCACGGAGCCATCCTGTCACAGCCGCCGTCATTACTCACTTTCATGAGCGTAATCTGCACACTGGACCTCGGGCCCTACTCGGCATAATTCGATCCCAGTATTGGCCTATTGGGGGGAGAAAGACAGTGAGCAAGGTCTTGAACAAATGCGTCAGATGCTTTCGAACGAAGCCTCGATTAGTCGAGCATGTAATGGCGGATCTCCCAAAGGAGCGATTGGATGGATCGCATGCATTTGAAGTCACTGGCATTGATTTTTGTGGGCCATTCTTTTACAAACCGGAAGTGCGAAATAAGGCCCCAGTGAAATGCTACGTTTGCGTCTTTATCTGCTTCGCAACAAAGGCCATTCACTTGGAGTTGATCAGGGATCTCTCAACAGTATCATTTCTGCATGGCCTCAAGAGATTTATATGCACCAGGAGAAGACCGCGGCTGATTTGGTCGGACAATGCAACCAACTTTGTCGGTGCACGCAATGAGCTGCTTGAGTTAAGACGCTTGTTCCTCAGCGACGAGCATCAGAAAGCGACGTTGGACTTTTGCCTAGCGGAGCTTATTGATTGGCGCTTTATTCCTCCCAGATCGCCGCATTTTAGTGGTCTCTGGGAAGCAGCGGTGAAGACGGCGAAGTACCATTTCTACCGCGCTATTGGACCTTCAGTGCTGGCCTTCGACGAGCTGCGGACTCTTCTGTGCCATATTTCGGCAGTAGTTAACTCTCGGCCTTTAGTCTCAATTTCAGAAAATCCCGCTGATCTGGATGTGCTAACGCCAGCCCACTTTCTGAATGGTGGTCCACCATCCTCATTCATCGAGCCGGATGTGACCGCCCTTAACTTCAATCCGTTGGATGGATGGCAACGTGTGGCCTATTTGCAGAAAGTCTTCTGGACCCGATGGAAGGAAGAATATCTGACGCTACTGCAGCAGCGCTCCAAATGGCGCACCCCGAAGCCTGGCCTGGTTGTAGGTGACGTGGTGCTGGTCAAGGACGAGAACTTGCCTCCGATGAAGTGGCCCCTAGCGAGAGTCGTTGAGCTTCTGTGTGGTGGAGATGGAGTTGCTCGTGTTGCAGTCCTCAAGACAGCATCAGGAGTGACAAAACGAGCAGTTAATAAGCTGTGTCTGCTGCCCCTTAAGGATGTTGTTGAAAGCCAGACTTCCAACGGGGGGAGTATGTCGGGTCATCCAGCCGCAGCAGATATTTAGGATCTCTTAATGCTAGCTCTTAGCTTATCTGCATAATTACCATCGCTCTCGCTCTCTAATTATCTTTCTATTTGCTCTCTCGCGTTGCTTGTCGGCTTCTACTTTGGGTCAGCAATCGGCTGATCCGCGTGTCAATTTTAATTGTATTACTTCTTTTCGATCCCGCGGACCATTTGTAACTCTTTTTCGTCGAAAATAAAATCGCTGCTACAGAATTCGAAAACAAAATTTCTTCGTGCATAATTATTTCAACAGCTAATAAAAAAGCTTATTAGCTCAACAGGCAAATAGGACCGTAAAGACGATGATCGCCCAGTTTGCAGGGGGCGACCAAAGGACGTGGGACGAAAAATGGCCAGAGTTACAGCTGGCCGTCAATACCAGTGTGGCGGAGTCCACTGGGTACTCGCCAGCATTCGTCACCCAAGGTCGAGAACCCCGACTCCCGAAGGCGCTATATGATGAACACACGATCGGGACCGGCAAAGCCACGCAAACACCAAGTGAGAACGCACAAAAATTATCAGAAATTTTTCAGTTAGTAAGGCGTAACATGGAAAAGGCGGCGCAGGATCAGGCGCGCCATTACAACCTGCGCAGGAGGCCATGGACCCCAAGGATTGGCGATAAGGTCTGGGCCAAGGAGCACCACCTGTCAAAAGCAGTGGAAGGCTTCGCGGCGAAATTGGCCCCCAAGTATGACGGGCCATTTACGATTGTTGATTTTGTTTCCCCGGTGATATGCAATTTGCGCCACTGCATGAGTGGCAAGGAAAAAAGGTGTCACATTAGTGAGTTAAAACCAGGCTCTGAGGGGAAACAATGAGTAGTGGCCGTCATTGCGGGGGCACACTGTACGGGTGTTTCGTAAGAAAGGGAGAGGACGATACGGAGTATCGATGCAGTGCCTCCCACACACACGTACATGGAGCGCGAGCGCCAGGAGCGCGAGAAGTGGGTCAGTGGAGGGTACATAAGGGGCGATCACCGTTACCGGGTCACCAAAACCAGCGCAAGAGAAAAGCTTTCACCGGTAACGGGACCCCGAACGAAGAAAGGTGGGAGTGGACGAAAACCGAGGTGTCGTCGGAGGCGACGGATAGAGGTTCGGTCTTTCCAACGTTTTTCGCCAAGATGTCCGGACGTGTTCACCACCGCCAGCTACAGCAGCATCAGCAGCAGCCGCAGCAGCATCAGCAGCAGCCGCAGGAGCATCAGCAGCAGCCGCAGCAGCCGCAGCAGCGTCAGCAGCAGTCGCAGCAGCATCAACAGCAGCAACAACAGCAGCCACAACGGCGGCAGCGACAGGAGCAGCTGCGCAAGCGCAAGGTCGGCGCGGAAGGCCGCGGCCGACGGCAACAGCCAGGGGCGAAATGGAGGCGTCGGCGCTCGTCGTCGGCACTCCAGCTACTGGCGTCGCCGTTAGTGTCGCGGTCCCCGTCGCCGGCCTGGCGCGAGGTGTCGGAGAGGGAGATGTCCTCCGACGAGGAGGTCGACGGCGGCCCCACCGGCGAGATGGAGACGGTGGAGTTGTCGTCGACGGAAGAGGAGAGCGACGGAGGTGAGACGGTGACCCCCGTGGTCTCCTCTGATGAGGAGGGCACCCGGTGGGCCAACCAGGCCCGGAGGGGTTACCGTCAGGTAAGGCGGGTGGTGGATGCCGAGGGGTATATCCCGTTCGGGTCGGCGGCTTCGTCGGAGAGGCCGGAGAGCGAGGAGGTCATCGAGGCCCGCCGACGAGCAACGATCGGCAGGTTGGTGGAGCGGCAGGCGGAGTGGATGGCTGCCGTGAGGGAATGGAGGAGAAGACTGCAGCAAGCGGAGGACGAGGAGGCCGCGTTGTGGACACCGGCACCTCCGCCGGCAGCGCCCTCGCAGCCGCCGTTGCCACCCACATCGCCACCGAGGACGCCGCCACCACCACCGCCGCCGAGGACGCCGACGCCACCACCGCCGTCGAGGAGGCCGACGCCACCACCACCACCGCCACCAAGGACACCAACGCCGCCACCACCGTCGATGAAGAAGTCACCGCCGGAGACACCACCACCGCCGAGGAAGAGGACGCCGGCGCCGCCGCCAAGGACGCCCACGCCGCCGCCAAGGACGCCCACGCCGCCGAGGAGGCCGACGCCACCGTCGCAGCCACCGCTGCCGCTCGCGTCGCCGCCGAGGACGCCGCCGCCACGTCCACGGCTGCAGAGGCAGTCCGTGCCCGGTGGCAGCACCGCCGAGCAACCGGGGCAGAGGTCCCCGAGGACACGTGGCCGGACACGGTGCGCGCGGAGGCGGAGCGGCAGCGCCGTCGAGGGAGGACCCAGCGGTGGGCGAGACTGATGGGTGTGGAGGGGGTCCGCTACCGGCTAAAGGTAGCAGGCGGGGCCGTGCGGGTATACAGGGCGATGAAATAAAAAGAAAAAAGGACACAAAGACCACCAAGTTGTATTGCCACGGGGAGGGGGTTGGAGGAAGGGGGGGCCGGGATACCAGCAGGAGTCACTGTGGGTATTTGGGATAGGGCAGGATGCCACCACGAACACGCACGAATATATTTCGGTGGAGTCAGAAACCGCACGCGCGAAATCACAAAAAGCAAAATAAATAAAAGCAAAATAATAGTAATCCAGCGGCGGCTGCATCAGGTCCAGCGAAGACAGGTGGAGGCGGGCGATCCGCAGATAAGCAGACGGGCTGGAAACAAAAGGAGTAAAGGTTAGGCATGTACGCAAAAGGTACACAAAAAATTCACCTGTGGCAATGCCCTCACGGCCAGCCTGTGGTATGCCACAGAACGAGGAGCCGCGGGGTAGCGGGGAAGGAGTGGACGTCCGACAGGGGGCGGTCCAGCAACATACACGGAGTGGGTTCGACGTGCAACATGAGTCCCCTGGAGCCAGCCGGAGTCATTGGAGGGCAGACGGTGAGTTGTTACACGAGTTAGCAAAAGATAATTAAACTCAAAAACTTACCTGGGAGTCCACGGCCAAATTCAGACGGCCAGCCAGAGCGGGGAGCCGCGGCGAGCGGGAAGGGAAAGGGTGGGTCGACGGCCGGGCATATTGGCCTGCCGGGACGCGCTAGGTCAGGGTCGGCGCCCCGGCGCATACATCGTTGGAAGGATTCCGCGGCTCAACCCGGCTTGGAGTGGCCTAAAAAAGGAACATTTAAGTGGTAAAAATCAAGAAATTAACATCAAAACACTTACCATAACAAAACCACGAGGCCGGCGAATAATTGGGAATGGGGTCGCCACGATAACGGCGGTCGATCGATAGTGCGATCGATGGGAGCTAAAAAATACTGGAAACATCGCTGGCCGGCCACACTGGTTATGACTGCAGCCCTGAGGAGTGGCAACGCCACGATCGATAGACGAGTTATCGATTGTGCGCGGGGAAAAACTACGCGGGAAACGGTTCGAATTCGAACAAGGATCGGAAAGAGTCGCGTGCTGGGAGTTTTCGACAGTCAAGTTGCCCTAATCAAGAAGCCCAACGATGGGAAGTCTACATAAGCTGAGACTTAGGTGCTGAGATTGGAGGAGCTCTCAGCCGTGGCAGGAGGAGGTCGACGAGGGAGTGGCAGCGGCCACAAGGATCGAGGATGGACGTGTGCGCAAGGAGCCGTGGGGGTCAAGACGCCACAGTCGAGATGCTGAACGACCAGGTAGGGTCCAATAGGCTGAGGCTGTCCGGCTGAGATCCAAGAGGCCCTTGGCCGCACTCAGGAGTTGGAGGTCGACGTGGGAAGGAGGCGATTCGAGGACGTTTTACCCAGGAAATTCCGGAGCCCGAAACTTTCAAAAGTTTCCGAAGGAAGGGGGAGATGTAAGGAGTTGTAAATCTCCTTACAATTTCGAGTGCAGGAGAGCTGCATAGCAACAGCGGGATGCGCTGTGTGCGATGGTTAAAAAAGGGAAATAACGGCTCCAAGGACTTTGGACTCGAGGGTGCGGTGAGTCTGCAGACTTTGGACCCAACAACAGCAAGTCTGCGGACTTCGGACCCGCGCAAAGAGGAGAGACCGTGAATTAACGGTACCGCGGCGGACTTTGTACCCGTTATAACGGTGAAGTCCTGGACTTTGCACCCGTATAACGGTGAAGTCGGCGGACTTTGGACCGGCACAAAAGGGAATGACCGTGAACTAACGGGACTGGTCCTGCACTTTGGACCCGATCACGCCACCGAAGGAGGGAAATAACGGGACCAGGGTGGCGTATAAAAGGAGGACGCGTGCAGGAAGCGGGTCAGTCAAGTGAAGTCGTGCAACGAGATCGTACCAACGCGAGTGAAACCCCAAGGAGAATACCAAGTGCCATTTAATCCGGAATCAAGATCGCCGAGTCGAGAAGCCCAACGACGGTCACGTCTACATAAGCTGAGATCCCGAGGGTACAAGGTAAGTTGTAGGGTGCGTCTTCGAGTCTCGAAAACGACGGTATTGGTGGAGTCTCTTTGGTCCACTTTGGAGTAAGTGGATGTTGTGCGAAAGGTACCCAGCGTCGGTTCGCATGAGATATTGAGAACCTGCTGAGGGCCAGCTGACGAAGATCCAGTGGATGTTGTGCGAAAGGTACCCGGCGTCGGTTTCTCATGAGAGAGTGAGGACCTGCTGAGGGCCAGCTGACGAAAATCCGAGGGAGTTGTGCGAAAGGTGCCCGGAGTCGGTCCACACGAGAGTGAGGACCTGCCGAGGCCCAGCCGACGAAATCCCGACCGACTTCAGGGTAGAGCGTGGAGTGTTGACTGCAGCAGCGCTGCTTAGCCCTCCAGTAAGGTTTTCTGCTCAATATCCGCCAAGTTGTGAGAGACTCGTAGCGAGCCTAGTACGCGACCGGTGCCCGAAAGACTCGGCAAGGCAGAGGACGCGCGAGAGGCGTGCCGCCGTGGAGTCGACGCGGGAGCCATTACCGGCGTCAACGAGGGGGAGCGAGTCGTCAGGCAGCAGATCCACGAATCAATATCAAGCTGTAAATCCACAAGCAATAAACCCAACACATATTCCAAATCTAACCTAACTCTGCGTTCTTCTTTGGTCTCGGGGTCACGCAACAATAAATTTGGTGGGACGAACACACAAACTTAACTGAGCTAGCCGCACGTTTACGTAGCGAGCGGAGACAGAAAAATCAGTTCGTTACAATGTCCAAATATGTCCGTCGATTTGTTGAAAATTGCATCACATGTAAATTATCAAAGCCATCTGTAGGTAAAATACAGGCAGAGCTACACTCAATTCCCAAAATAAGTACACCGTGGCACACAGTGCACATTGACATAACAGGAAAATTGAGCGGCAAAAATGACTTTAAGGAATATGTCATTGTTTTAATTGATGCATTTACAAAATTTGTTTATTTTTACCACACCTTGAACATAGACACCGAAAGCTGTGTTAAGGCCGTAAAATCAATTGTTTCATTATTTGGCGTGCCTACTCGAATTATAGCGGATCAAGGTCGATGTTTTACCAGTATGGGTTTTCGCGAGCTCTGCACTTCTCAAAATATTGATTTGCATTTAATTGCTACTGGTGCGAGTAGGGCCAATGGCCAGGTCGAGAGGGTAATGAGCACTTTAAAAAGTATGTTAACCGCGGTGAAAACCAGTCAGAGATCATGGCAGGATGCGTTGGCCGAGGTACAACTGGCAATGAACTGTACAGCAAATAGGGTAACAAAATTTAGCCCATTAGAATTGTTAATTGGAAAGGAAGCTAGACCTTTTGGGCTTTTACCAATTGATGCAGAAGGTGAACAAGAAATAGATAGGGGAAATATAAGAAATCAAGCTACACAAAATATGGAAGCCAGTGCACGGTATGATAAACACAGATACGATAATAATAAAGCGAAAATTACCAAACATAAGTTAGGCGACCACATATTGCTTAAACATGAGGAACGCCATAAAACGAAGCTAGATCCACAATTTAAAGGGCCATTTGAGATCATTGAGATTCTAGATGGAGATAGATATCTGTTAAAATCTTTAACTAGTAAGCGAATTTACAAATATCCACACGAATCTCTAACAGCTTTGCCAAATAATCAGCTTTTAAGCGAAGATAGGGATGACGTGATAGAAGATGGTACAGAAGTATAAGAAGAGAAAAAGAAAAGACCGCACCATAACCGAAGAGACGGGTTATGGCGGGGGTCAGGACTGCACCATAACAGAAGAGACTTTTTATGGCGGGAGTCAGGACCGCACCATACAGAAGAGACATGTAATGGGGGGGGGGTCAAGAGAAAGATGCGAAATAAAAATGAGAAAGGTGTTAAAGGAATTACACTAAATGAAAATGTAAAATCGATGTAAAATGTTATATTATGCGATTTATGGATAAGATGTTATAGATAAGATTAATGTTACTGGAGAGTAACTAAACGAAAGAAATTTATTTATGTTAAAACGAAGAAACTTTATGGAAATGAAAGATTCGATATTTGTTTAAGTAATTTATACCTTTAAAGCTTTTGTCCAGTGAATAAAATGAAAGATTGTTAAAAAAAAAGAGGTGTTATGAAGAATTGAGTCATAAGGTATTGGCAAAAGGAGTGGAGAACTGACCACACGAGGACGTGTGATTCGTCAGGAAGGCCGTGTCGGATCAAATGAAACGGGGCCTACTTTGTTCTCTTGGTCAGAACAGGTGAAGCGGGGCCTTCTTTGATGTGAAGCAGGGACTATTAAAAAGGAAGTTAGAAATTGAGTGAAAGCATGGCAGAGCAGGACAGATTTAGACTGCTGCCAAGTAAGGTCTGTTCGTTAAGCGCTGACATACATGTTAGAAAGAGATGACTAACAATGTAAAAGAATTGAGTAGAAAGTATAAATTTGGAAAGTAGACTTTTGGGAAGTCAGTTCAGAAAGCGCCTGGTAAACGAGCAGAAAAAGCTGCTGATAATTTGTTTCAAAATGGAAAAAAAAAAACTTAACTTTATTTCTTATATTCAACTGGTTACAAATATTCTTTAGTGGAAGAACACCGACCTGTCACTTGCAAGTCTCAAACTGAACTCAACTCCTAACTCTGACTTCCTTTACGATCATACCTCGGTTGTGGAGCTTTCGAGCTTTACTTGAGTGTGTTTATTCTAACTGAGTGTGTTTTATTGTTTAGGCTAAGAACTTTCCCGATTGGACTTTGGATTCTTGGGTTTGAATTTGTTTATGGCCTTGGTCCCGAAATTTGAGTTTACGACTTTGGTTTGGGAATCTGAATTATGGGAACGTGCTGAATGCGCGTTTCTATCTAAAATGTTTAGTCTGAGAATTGGTTTACAAGTACTTTTCCATCCTCAATTATGTTTAGCTTTAATTTGGTTAAGGATCATGTTCGGTACATTTGCATATTTGAATCTAAGTGTCAAGGGTAAGTTCTAGCAAGTATTAGATGTGTGTGTGTGAGTGTATGGGTGTGTAGACATGTACATAGTTTATGTGGTGCTATGGATATGTCACTCCCCCTACCTTTGAATGCGGCCTGTCCTCAGGACGATAAACTTGGGTATAACATTATGTTTTCTCCTATGTTCATGCTAGGTTGATCGTTTACAATTTCTGGATCTTTCGGTGTTTCTTCCTTTGGTTTTACATATTTAACAATTAATTTTCTTGGAATATTTTTGAACTTATAGAATAAATACAAAGATAAACTTATAATTGTAATTACAAATGTAGTTGTAGTTATTATTTGGAATACATTATAATATTTTGTGTGTGTTTCTATAATTTCTTTTGTTTGGATGTAAGCTAGTGGTTCTAATTTTGTTACATTATTACTGACATAAACGGTTTGAGTGTAATCTGACATTGTGTTTGAGAGGATGAATTCGTCCACTTGAACTGAACAATTAAGGATTTTAATCAAGTTATTTCCGCTAATAGAAATTTCTTTATTAATGCAATTTTGATTTAAAAATGTTTTAGGGATATTCCATGTCAATAAAATGTTTGGTTCAATATAATTAATTTGGAAATTTTTATGCGTTTTAGTGTATTTACAGCCTGTGTCTTCTTGTCTAATTACTCCATTTATACATTCGTCAAATACTATTTTTCCTGTTTCTTTATCAAATACTTTTTCCTCGTGTAGGAAATATTTATTGACTGTTGTAAAATATGAATATACATATGTAT